GTCATAAGTGATTATCTCAATTTCAGCTAAAGGAATTGACAAAATCCTACACACTGTGCCTTTAAATAAATAAAGATAAAGACAAAGATAAAGTCTGTAGAGCAGGGATGCCCAAACATTTTCCCCGAGGGGGCCAAAATGAAAATCTATCCACAGCTGCGGGCCAAGTGCAGTAATATAATACATGAAATACAAATTTTTTAAGTAAAGTCCTTTATTTTTAACAATCAAGCTATGCAATGKCCCTCTTGTTTTAGTTTGTGCACTTGGAGAAAGTCTGCCATACACTCAAGTAGCAAATGCTCATGGAACATTTCATAAACTGATAAAATATGAGTTTTTATGGCCTTATAAAGTGTGAAAATCTACATGTGGGGTTAAATCTGATCTAAATATTTCTTGTCATTTCATATTTCATGTTTAATCCTAATAAATCAAAGACAAAGTCAGCACCATGAAAGAAAACTACCTTCACTACAGCCCTTTTATACATAGTCATTTGACCAATGGAAATACTGTGTTTCTACATAGGATAACAGGTTACAACCGTGTAACTTTGGCAACTGTAGGTGGGCCAAATCAAATGGCTTGGCAGGCCAAATTTGGCCCGCGGGCCCCACTTTGGGCTCCTCTGCTGTAGAGAATCTGATGGGTTTTTTTTTTTTATTATTTTTTTTTTATTTTGAGCCACAATCAGAGAGATGAAGAGTTGGAGTTCAAGTAATATTGTGTCAATAAACAATGACCATGGAGTTCCACTTTGGCTGAACCAAGTTATAAAGAAAATATGCAGTTATGTGATAAAATGGGTAAAATCACGTTATGCCAAGTTTTTTTTTAATATAAAAATGTTTTCTTTGTTTTTTTTTAGATTTGAAGGATGTCGCAGGTATTATATATAATTTTATAAAATGACAACTATCATGTGACAGGAGGGGAAAAAAGCAGTAAAATTGACCTTCCAAATCTTATGACTCACCTTCTCTATGGAGCTGATGGTGACACCTGCAGCACAGGAGACAATAAGGTGACGGTCCTCGATATCTGGTCCGATTTCATCAAGGACAAAGGGGATGATGTGGGGCTTCACAGCCAGGAAGAGAACATCACTTCTGCTCACCGTCTCCTTGTTGCTGGTGGTGAAATTTATACCCAATTTCTAATTTAAAGAAGCAACATATTAACACATGCTACGCTTTTATACATTTTTGCACCAGTCATTAAACGAGAGTGTACCCACCCTTAGCTGCTGCACTGTGGTGTGGTCTGTGTCTGGGGAACTGGCTGTGATTCTGTGGGTGGCAATCACGCCTTGAACCGTGACAGATGTCCAGAAATAACTTCAGTGCATGATTTCAATCTTTATATATCAGCAGTTCACGTCAAGTATTATTATCGCACAGATGATTGCATAGTATGAATTCACCTGCAGCTGAGAAGCCTCGAACTAGAGCGTTAGCCAGCTGGCCCGCGCCAATAAAGCCCACACTCATGATGCCTGTAAAAATACAGTCAAAAACATTTAATTTTTTTAATGCCTATTGTCAACAGGGACGGATAACCTGCTACTACGGAAGAGCAACGTGGCTTTAAGATGAGTAGTCCCACTTCCTGCTAATCCGAAGCAACAACTCATAAAAGTAAAAAATGGCGGCGGATATATATAATTGTATTAATACATATTTTAAAAGCACTTACACCAATCAGAAGAATCCGTAAATCTGTCAGCTAGCTGATAACTACAGAAAAACAAATCAATGTTAGCATAAACCAACTTTCTGTCCCTGACGGTCTCCTGTGGTAAACAAGAAAGGCAGCCAATGAGCACGCAGGTTTTCAAGCACGTGACCACTTGTGACCAATCATAGTGCGAATAAGAAAGACAGCCGGATATTGTGAAGCAGAAAAGCCAGATGTGTTTATTTATGCCGCAGGGCATCGAAGCCCGTGACCCAAATACTGACATGTATTTTTCACCCCCACCCCCTTCTGTAATGTGTGTCTGAAGGTAAGCAACCCAAGTTTATTTTGCTGGCAATCTTGGTATTGTGACTGGTTGAATCCCCATTTGTTACTTCTTTTGTTAAAAAATGTTTTTATTTTATTTTCCTTGAAAATTGAAACAAATGTTCTCTGAGGACCTGCTTGGAAGACACTAAATAAGAAAAGTCCAAACTAAAGATGGCATTTAATTGAACGTGACACACATACATAACACCGAATAAGGAATGCTACTCTTATTTTATGTTCAGCATGTACTGTGACATAAAGGAGTTTGATACTCCATGTGTCCCCCCCTCAAAAAAATGAATAATAATAGTAAAATAAAAATATAAAAAAAGTTTAGACATAAGGGAAGTAGGGAAGCTAATGGTGTTGCAGCACCATTGATACATTCTGTAACAATAAAATTAATCTTCTTTGTTAGGGATTTATTACAAACAGAAAAAAATATAAATATAGCAAAATGTCTTGAAATTAAATTTAAATCCAAAATCAGCACATACTCAAAACTTCACTTGTTAGACACTTCTGGAGAAGTTTTTTTTATAGACCTGATTTTTTTAAACACAATTAAATGAAATATATGGTTTCTACTAGAATACAAACATGAAATATACACATTCAGCACTAAATTAATACTGATAATAACACGTCATTCATAAATAACACCATTAACTTATAGAATAAGTGTAAAGAGTTCTTCACAAAATCTGTAATTGTCTCTAGGGAATAATGTTTTTCACGCTGCAGAGCTGGAAACAAAGCGAATCCTTTGAGAGTAAATAAGGTCGATAAAATATAACACCAAGTTGACATGGGTGAAGACAGCCACAACCAGTTTGCTGTCCCAGGGACACTGTCCACGTGGGCAGACCTCAGGACGAGTGGTGTTGCCATATTTCTTATCGAAGCTGAAGATGGGCCAGATCAGTGTCGTACTTAAGTAAAGGATCACGGCAAAGAAGGTGTAGACCACCACGAACCGGTCGAATGGGAACTTCAGGGCAGACGTTCTACCAGACACGGTCAGCACGACGACAATCACGGTGATGGCAAAACACAGGCTGTAAACCACAACACAGTACTGCGTGGCGATGTACAGGTTGTATTCACTGTCGTTCTCTAGGGCTCCAAAAATAATGCAGGCCACAAACCCCTGGACCACCTTGAGCAGACCTGACACAGTGGCCATGTAACCCACCACAGCTCCGGGTTTCGCTCTTGTTAGGAACACCTCCACTCCGTACGGGAAGATGCAAATGCTGGAACAGATGGTGACAACAATACGGTAGATGTGGGCATCAGCGTCTTCAACGGGGTCATCTGTCTCGAGGAAGTACACAGGGTAGACCACAGAGGCAGTGATGTACATGAGCGTGGCCAGCATGGCAAAAGCCACGGTGAAGTTATCCCAGGAAATCGGCATACAGGTGTGGAGCCTCGTGATGTCCAACGTGAACACAACCAGAGTGACCGCGAAGCAGAAGCACCACACGAACATGCAGAAGATCCCGTAGTTGGCGCTGTAGCCCGCACCGTGGGACACCAGGGCCATTATGGTGCAGCCGAGCACCAGCTGGCATATCCGGGCTGCGCCCAGAGGTGACAGTACCGCGTCTTTGTTGAGGTAGTGTCCTCCATGAGAATCCATGATGTCTTCCAGAGGCTTTTCTTGGTGTTAATCGTGCTCTCTGTACTGGTGCTCTTGTGGCCTACACTACTCTTTCACATGGACCTCACCCTTCCTTTTCCAGATGGTCCTTAATCACAAACCACTGTAATTTCCTAACTTGCTTTGTAATTAAAGAAGTGGAAGATCAGGTTACACCTACACACAGCTGTGTATAAGTTTTGCATCAATCTTAACAAAATAAGAGACATGCACTTAAAAACTAAATTGTAGTTTTGATCAAGATTGGATTTGTTGTCTTAAACTTTGTGCCAAATAATCCACTTACAGTTCTGAAGAATAATTTAACAGTCTTTATCCCATTTAATAATAAAATGTATGTCCTTATTATTCTTATTCTTCCCTTGCTTGAATCCGGTGAATCAAAAGTTCAAAGTCAAGGTCTCCTCCAAACTGTTTTCCTTTAAATGTTGGATCCCAGACATCAGCCTTCCAACAAGAGCTTTCAGCACCGACAGGTGGAAAAGTTTCTTATCCTGCTGATCCAGTCCTGTAGGCCCTTAAATTCCCATCCAGTTCACTCTTGCTCCTCGTCTTGCTTCTTCTGCCTCTCTCAGATTTGGTTTTCCACTTTTCCTGACATTAGCGAGCACATCCTGTCCCTCCTGTGTTGGGGCGTGTGTGTCACTGTGGTGCTCGGCGGATTTCTACCGATGCCTGTTTAAATGAAAGTTTGTGACGAGCCCAGGGTTGCAGGCCTTGCCAGCTCTATAAATAGGGGGTCTATATTCCACAGAGGGGTGGGAGGCTGCATGTGGCAGGCAGGACGGGAGTCCTATTTCCAGGGAGGCTGACTCAGAGCTCCCTCAGTAAGAAACTGGCATTTACACAGTGTGTAATGACAGGGAGGGATGTTAAAACTTCCATTAGAGGCATGAATTACACATGACTAGAGAGGGATGATTATATACAAGAAATGGCAAATTTAGCCTGAACATGTGACTGGGAGGTAGACGTACCATATGTTGGTGTCATATATGTGTGATTTTAATTTACAAAGAGCAAAATGATCCTCTTACAAAACCAGTTTTGAAGTAACTTTAAAGATATTCCACTGTGTGTATCTTTATGCCAACGTTACTTGTAAAGTTATAGCTTTGCTGCTCAAGTGGAAAATAAATATTTTTAGTCTTTTGCGACTCAAAGTCTGAGAAAAGTCACTTTGAACGGTTGGCTTGCTGTCATGGTTTGGTAGGCAATGATCTGGGTGAAGGGCAAACTGCAGTGTGTATTTCTGTTGAAATAAACACAGTGCGCACCAGGCAAAGCCACAACAAAACCGAGGTCAGAGTAAAAGTCTGCATAAAAGTCTTCATTTTGGAGAAAGGAGCTAGCTTATTTGGGTTTTCCTCAGGTATAAAATGTTTCAGTAGAAAAATGTTGGGAGTTAATCTTCATTTCACTTTATTTACTCTCAAAATGTTTGCGTATTTTAGAAAATATTTTGTATGGTTTTGCCAACGCAATGTCTTTAAATTTATAATTTTTTTCTTTTATCTATTATTAATTTGTGCATATTTAAATACTAAATAATTAGATATTTAAAACTTTCCAACAAATCACTTGTACATTCACTTTTGTTTTCACGTTTTGTGTATTTTACTCATTGTTTTATGTAGTTTTTTTATGCTCTGTAGCTTTTTTTTCTCTCAATTTGAAAACTAACACATTGCTGCCATTACAATTCTGAAATATTAGAATAAATAACAAGGAGACAGGTTGGAAATAAGTAACTTGTATATGTAATACATCTTTTTCTTATGGGTGTGATACAAAGACATGCAATCAACACGAAAGAAAAAAAACAGCAATGTATTTACAATTTACAAAGAATCACTTCTCTGTGAAAAAATAGCACTTATAAATATGATTTACATAACAAAATAAATATGTAAAATTACCAATGTAGCTTGAGTTATTATTTTTTCTGTTAAAAAATATGTTACAGAATAAAATTACATTTAGTAATACTTCTTTTTTTTCTTGGTGTGATGCAAAATATAGAGGTTCCTTTACAAACATCATTTATAAAGTCATCATTACATACAACATTGTCTTTATATTAAAGTGTGATCTCTATAATGTTATATAAGAAGGGAGTTACAATGATGTACATGTAAAAAAAAAACTATACAAATGTTCCAAAAAGAAAATACAAATACACAATATTTGTCTCCCTTTAAATGTTCAGTGTGCGTTGAATCTGAGGACTGAACAGCTGAGGGGGACCTGACAGACACGTGGATCCTCCAATCAGGTTCGAGCATTCCTCTAACGATGATATCGTCCATGAGAAAGAGGTAAAGACCAAAGATAGGATATTGAATATTAAACTGAATATTCAATATTTACGTCTGTGGTCAGGACTGGCTGTAATGGCGCTAGATGGTGACGATGATGATGATGATGATGATGATGATGGTGATGATGATGATGATGATGATTGTGATTATGATGATGTGATGATGATGATGATGATGATGATGATGATGGTGATGATGGTGTGTTTCCAGGCCCACTTTAGCACCATTTCATAATACAACTGATTTTATGACACATTTAGAGCTAACAAAAGTAGAAATTTGTCAGCTGGATTACAACTTTTGTTCTTTATTTCTTAATCAGCACCACAACATAAAGTTTTTTTATTATTCTTTTAAATATTTTAGCTATTTTTCGAAAGGCATTAGTTCTGCCTTTCGCGTTTGTTTCAGAGCTATATAAAGCTCCTCTTGAGTGCTTTTTGTCACCTGATCATTTTACCCTGTTTCTGCATCATTTGAAATTTGATACTTAAAGAAAAATAAGTGTTTTGTTATAAACTCTATACCAACTAAATAAAAGATCATCCTTTATTTTGCTTCTTTTTTTTGCGTTAACTAAATCTAACCTTACAATGTTAGGATGAAACTTATAGAAACTATCAATTAGCATCCTTAAAACTGGATTACATTCGTTATAATTTTCTTTTACAAAACAAAAGATATTTTTCCCCCCCAAGGAGCAGCAGAAAGTAGAGCCTTGTCACGCAGGTTCTTTTGGGATCAAATCGAAACACGTGGGTTTAGACAGGAGGTCAACGGTGAACTGACTACAGGTAGAGGTGAGAGGTGAAGTGAGATGGAGGTATCAGTGATGGGAAACTGGTCATAAACCAGCTCTGCTTAGCTTAGAGTGTTAGTGGGGCGCCCTGCCCCGCCTCTTAGCTGCCGCTGCTGAGCATGCCCAGTAGCTTGCTCGGGTCCATGCCCTGCTGCTGGGCCATCTTCTGTACGTCGAAGCCCATGTGCATGAGGAACTGGATGACGTTCATCTCCTGCCCCGTGAACTGGTCTCGGATGGTGGGGCAGGTGGGGTTGCAGTGCGGCCACGGGCAGTTGTCGATGAGGTGCACGGGGCAGGCTTTGGGCGGCGCCTTGTTGTTCCTGCTGTCGTGGAGGCTGCGGTCCCAGCAGTGCAGCGCCCGGGGCAAAGAGGTGCCTTTAACCTGCACGTCGATCCAGTAGCTGCAAGGCAACACAAGAGGGCGCTGTGAGCTCACAGGTAGAATTTTGAACACTTAATACTTCCCAAAATTGTTAGAATGGAGCTTTAAAAGTGAAATTACACTTACCTTCTGGTGATTACTTCATGTGATAGACATGCTGGGGCAAACATGGCCCTGGAGGATTAATAAAATAAAATAAAATAAATAAAGCAAATAATTGAAGACATTTTTGCTTTAAATAAACGCAGCCTTACGGGACATCTTTGAGTGTGTTCCTCAGCTCGATGCCCAGGTTTTGGATGTAACGCCACTGGCCTTCCTGCACAGGCTGGCCTGTCAGCTGGATGTTGTCCACCGTCAGCTGGGCCTCGTCAAACAGCCACTGAACCACAAACACTGGGCCTGCCGAGGTCGGAAGGAGCATTTAGTCCATCCCATTATTGTTATCCCCGACAATGTGGCTCTAAAGACATAAATGTGTTTAACTCACTTTTAATTGACGGGAAAACTCGATATCCAAAGAAACAGTTCCACTCCTCCCCTTCGTGGGTTTCTTTGCACCTCTCTGGCACCACACTGCCCCAGTACCTGACAAACACGGCAACAAAAGAATATAATAAAATATTGCAATAAATTTCCCTTAAAAAATTGAATTATTGGAAATACAAGCATTATTGTTTTTGCCCATATCTGTTAGCAAAATATCTCCTGTGCCACTGGACGAATTTTAAAGAAACTTGACAAAAGTAATTATAAGATGCATGCCTACAACTGATTACATTTTGGAGTTAATTCCATTCAAGACTGTTGCCACAGCCAACTAGATTTCAAAAACCCTAAAATGACTGTGATTTAGTCAGTTTTAACAACATGATGCTAAATTTATCTGAGATTGTAGTGAGAGTTGTACAGAACAAATGCTACAAGTGCTAATCTGTGTATAAAACTTTGCTTAAAACTGCAGCATTAACTCCTGGAGTTAACTCTGCTTGTCTGTTAGCAAAATAACTCGTGAACGACTGGACTTATTTTAATGAAACTTTCTGAAAATAATCATCACATACGCATCTACAGCTGATTAACTTTTGGAGTCAATTCAAGATGGCCATCACAGTTAATCAACTTCAGACAACACAAAACAAAAACAAGACAAAACTGTAAAGGATTTGTATTTTTCAAGAAATGCTGAGCTTTCAATTGATTTGTTTTTATTCCCATACTTGATGCCTCTCTTGATCGTCTCTGTGGGGGTGCAGTTGGCGGCGTCCACGCAGTCCGTGCAGTGGTACTGCTTGTTGTCCAGGAACCAGCCCGAGTCGGAGAGGCCTCGCACTTGGATGGCAGCGTAGCCCAGCTCTCCCAGCAGCTCAGACACACGATCCACATTCAGAAGAACTCCGGTACCACCCGCACTGCAGACAGAAACACGGCACGTTTTCATCAGTACAGAAAAGTTGGTCAAACTTTCGACTTTAAAAGCTGATCGCACAAACAAACCTGCTTCCTGCCAAGAGGAGGACCCTGGCGGTGTCCAGACCTTTGCTCAGCAGATCTTTCACGACCTCCTGAATAATCAGTGAGCCCATAAAGGCATAGCCACCTGCGCCCAACAGAAAAGGAAACAGAATAAAAAAAAAAAAATCTAATACAGACAAAGGGTTCGGATCAGAAGGATTCAGCGACTTCTTACTCTGCTCTGTTTTGGCCGCGGCGCCGCTCCACACATCACTGGAGCAGTATGGAACAAACCTGCACGAACAACAGCAGGCTTTTAGCTCCCCGCAGGGATTCCAAAACGAGCATCAACCAAGCGCACAGACTCGAGCCTACTTACACCATGTTTGCATTCCACCAGTGCGGGTTTTCCTCAGGCAGCGGAGACAGGATCCCCGCGCCTGCAGAGACAGATCAACATGTATCATTAGCCCTCTTGGCTCCCCTCAGACACATCCTCCTCTTTATTTATCATCATTACCAGATGGATTATAGTTATTACAGCGCAGTGACAGACAAAGTCATCTCTGCTCCGTTGGCAGCGGGCGCCAGTTAAGTATTCTGCAGCGAGCTTATGACTGGGTGCCGGTCCTAATAACCCCATAAATGAGCACGCGTACGTCCGATCTCTTTTAATTAAATTTCATTAAAGTCTGTGGGGAGGATTTGCGACGGGCCACAGGTAGAGGGATGGCGGCGCTCGTGGAAGTGCACAAACAAGGCTGACCTCTTTTCGTCTGGGGCCACTTGGATGAGCTCATCAGCCTCCTCATGGTCTCGTAACGGCTCTCGCAGTTCTCCTTGTTGAAGCAGTACCAGCCGCCTGGACAGAGGCGGACAGAAACACAGCATGGATAACGTCAAAGGGCGAAATCACTTTTTAGATGCATCCCATCAACAACACGGTGGGGTCTGAGTTGATTGTAGCTTTAGTAGCTTACTAGATCAGAAACGTTAACATATTAGATCTTTACAAGATGGTTTTATCATCGCAGCCCTCTCAGTCTATTTATTAAGTGCCTAAAGATTCTTACTGTTATTTAATTCTCATAAAAGGAGCAAAAATTCTCAATTTGCAGGATGAAAAGAAAAATATAATGAAGTTACTAACCTTCGAGGAATATCAACCACCTTTTGCTGCCTCGAGACTCTTTCAGGTAGTACCTGCAGGAGCAAAAATAAATAAAATCAGCAAGCACTAAAAGTTACGCTTTCATGTGAGTCTGAAATAGTTGTTGACTTTACAGCATGAAAATGGATGCAACGCAGTCAACCAAGAAGAACCCTTTGCACAAAATAAAACCACACCATGATTATATTAATACGGCATCACTTTATTTTGTCGATCTCTAAAAAAGTGACAGAAAATGGCAAGGAGATTTTGTCGACATAAACAGTTTTTGATCAAACAGCAGGCAAAACCGAAGAATGAAGAAAATGTAAAAAGCCTGTTCAGACGCTGAGCTGCAGCTGTTTGTCTTCAGTCCAGAAGAGGGCAATCTGAGCCTCACGTGAACTTCTAACAAATCTGTCATTTCTGCTCAAATTAAACACTTGTTGTGTGAAGGTGTGCGGTTTTCTTTTTTTTCTTCCTCTTTTATAGCTTCTAGATGAATGTTTTGCTGTGCTTTTTTTTCTTTTTCATTTTTTTGCAGTGAATATTTAACCTGACCAAATGACTCAACCCCAAAAATGCTGCCAAATACATTTGAGTGAGTTTAAAGAGAACACACTTGGCTGAACCTCGCAGCTGCTTTGCTCAGACACTGAATCACGCTTTGGCTTCGGCTGGTGTTTTTACACGATTACTGGGAGCTACGGTCGGTGATGCAAGCCGAGGGTCCGCTTCCAAACAACAAAAGCATTTATTGAAGCATTCTTGGGACAAGAAACAATTGAGGATAAACAACAGGAAAAGTTCCTGTTAGGTCAATTTTGGCTCTTATTTGCATTATGTTTCAGATGATAGATACCTCTCTGGATAATGCTGTTGCTTAGATTCGTATCTAAACTAATTGCTGCCACAGTGAATTAAAAAAGGCAATTCATCAGTATTTGAGTTTGACAGGTGAAATCCTAAAGCCATTAAAAAAGGCCATTCATTTCAGTCAAGCTGATGCCCTTATGGTTCTTCTGCACAATACCAATACTGTTAGCAACAATTATGTGAGGGTATTTAAACGAATAACTGCAAAGATTAATGAATAATATTCTTTTTACCACTGCGTTTAAAGGGATTTGTTGTTTTTTTAAATTATGGTTCAGATTATATTGTCTAAAAACATTTAATACAACACAAACCAACCAAAGAATGCAAATACATTTGCTTATAAATATGAAACAGTTCTGTCAGAATCCCATTTATTTGAACTTTTGCGCATCTGTAAACACTTAAAGTCAAAGTTTGGAATCTCCTGTTTGCTGGTATGTTGCCTCTTCATCAGGGGACAAATAATAATAATAATAATAAATATTCACCCCTGAAGCATCCCAGCTTGATTGAGCACAAAGTGATGTGCACGAGGGAGGGTCTGAGAAGCTCCAATCCGAACTTTTGTGCGGAGCAAATCCTGCATTCTAATTCGGAGCAAAGGAAATGAAGCGTGGACCGTGTGGCTCTCCGCAAATTTCACGCTCCGCTGACGCAAAGCAGCTGTCCAGAACCCCTGTCCTGACAGAGCCAATGCTGTCTTTCTTTTCTTTTTTTTTTGTTTGTTTCTTTTAAAATATTGTTAAGCTTAAAATATAACTTTAAGCAACAACTTGACTAAATCTTTTCTTGGAAACAAGCGACCAAATAAGCGCTCCATGTGCGCCAGATTTGATAAAATCATTCTAGAAACTGAACTTTTTTAACTCTGATATTTAATGGTGTTTTTTTATTCTGTGAGTACATACCCTGCGGGACTCCCATCGTTGCAGGTGACCGATGTGTTCAGCAGAAAGTTCAGCTTCATGTCGTGGTCGAGCTTCTGCGCCGAGCACGGGTACAGGGACTGGGCCAGGTTCTTCACCTGCGTCATGAAGTTGTCCATGTTGTCCTCCACCGCCGTGAAATCCAGCGGGAAGCTCTCCGTGGTGTCCCCCCGGTGCGTGGGAGAAGGGGGCGCGCGCCGCTGCTGTTGTTGTTGCGAGTTGCGGCCACCCCGGAACCTCCGTGCGTAAAGTGCGCCGGACAGCACCAGAACCAGCAGCAGCACCGACGGAACCATCCTGAGCGCCCTCATCTCAGAACTTTAGATCTTCCTCTGAATGATTGGAGACGCAAAAGAAACACGCAAACAACAACTGCGCACGAGTTTGGAGACCCCGCAATTTATTTATTTTTTTTCTTATCCCTGAACGATTTTACGCAAACTCAAAAGTCCCATGTGGCGGCGCAGAATCATCCGATTAAAAGTGTCTAAAGTCTGCTTCAAACTTTCAACTCTTTGCTTTCCTCTGGTTGACACTGGCCGAAGTGCTGCTGGGCCAAGCGCACGAGCTTGAACGACAACACTTGTGCCATGTTCCTGTATTTTATTCAAACTTTCCCCCCATGTGCGTCCATTCAACCAATCGCACGCGCGGGGCAGGGCTCAGGGCATGATCAAGCG